ATTTCTCTCCAAAACGGTGCCAGTTTTAGCGTTTTGCAATAAAGAAATAAGAATAACTAAACTTGATAATTTATGTTACAATTTTAGCATAAATGCACATTGTTCTAGAAGGATGGCAAATGCATGACATACCTTTTACACATTTACTCGAATTGTTATGCTGATAATACAATTTGTAAGGAAAAATGCATTAAATAGCGAGGTATTTCTGGGGAAACTTTTTCAGAAGGAAACACACACACACACACACACACACACACACACACAAAATAGCAGAGTAAAAGTACCGATACATCACTTAAAATGTACTCAAGTAAAAGTAAAAGTACACAATTTTTAAACTACTCAAAAAAGTACAATTACTGATAAAAACTACTTAATTACTGTAACGTGAGTATTTGTAATTCGTTACTTCACTCCCCTGGTGGTAAGTGAACTTTCATGTACTGTAATGCAACAGTCTACCGCTAGCAAGCGGTTAACCTTTTAGTGGCTCCGTGTAACGCGTTATTTGTTTCACGCTTCGGGCACATCCCTAACCCCCCGCCCCCCAATGTCATCGTCCATCACGATGACAGTTTGTGTTGTGCGAGAGTCAATGTAATGGAAAGGGTGACCTCTGGTGGTGAATAAACGGAAGTCCATGGACCGAATTCGTGACAGTATCTGTATGCATACACGCATGCAAAAAGAACATTTGAATATTTAAATGCAATAAAACAATATGCAGAATGTTTCTAACAAATTTTAGTGCAAATGGAGAAGCAGTTACTATAGTTACAAAATCAATAAATGGCTCATAATGGCCCAATGACTTTTAAAAGTGTTAAATGACTATACACAACTGTAATGTAATATTTGATTTGTGGAGATTATTAAAGGGGTCTGGTGCATAACACGAATTGTCCTAAAATTTGAGGATATTGTTTTCTATGAGTGTATGCCACAGCAGGGGCGCCCAGCTATGACACCAGAGGGTGCTCTAAGTCCTGCCACGCTACAGAGCCCTACTCATATAGTATCCACATAGCCCTCCTTCACAGTACGTTGTGTGTTTTGATACTCAAAATGGCAAGCGCTGTGATAGAGCTGTATATGTTAGAGCCTGAGGCAGAAGAAATTGAAACAACACAACCACAATGATTGCAACAGTCTGTTTCAGCATGGTAACTGCTTTTACTTGTTTGATAGCTTAATTTTCGTTATATAGTTTTAAAAGTACTATCATTACTTGTCTTATTACATAAGATGCTGCATGTAGGTGGGCATGTACTGATTTTATTATGTTAGATCATGCCTCCATGCCAAAAATTTCAGATCCAGCCCTAGGTCCTGTCAGAAACTATCCGTTTTGTATGGTAACAGAACAATTTATTTTGTTGTTTGACATCTTGAAATTGCATAGCTTAATATACATCACCCGTTTTAATATTTCTGTTTGAACCATTTATCATATACCTTCAAACACATCGATGCCGCTATGACCATTCTTGAAGTAAATTTTTGCCTGCCTGCCTTTCAGACATCCCACCCAGCAAAAACCCATTTCAGGGAGGTTGCATTCCTAACTATAAAGAATAATAATGAAGAATTAAAACATTTTTAAATATCTAGCATGTTTAGTACAAATTCAAATGTAAAAATGTTTGTGTAAACAAAATTTTAACAAAGAAATATTAAGTTTTAAGTATTGTAACTTTTAAGTACCGTACTAGTGAGTTGAGGTAGTTTGATTCAGTCTGTTTCATTTACATTTACATTTACATTTACATTTAGTCATTTAGTAGATGCTTTTATCCAAAGCGACTTACAAATGAGAACAATAAAAGCAGTCAAAACTAACAAAAGAGCAACAATATATAAGTGCAAATGACAAGTATTGGTTAGCCTAACACAGTACACGTAGCAAGATATGTGTGTGTGTGTGTGTGTGTGTGACTATAAAGAATAATAATGAAGAATTAAAACATTTTTAAATATCTAGCATGTTTAGTACAAATTCAAATGTAAAAATGTTTGTGTAAACAAAATTTTAACAAAGAAATATTAAGTTTTAAGTATTGTAACTTTTAAGTACCGTACTAGTGAGTTGAGGTAGTTTGATTCAGTCTGTTTCATTTACATTTACATTTACATTTACATTTAGTCATTTAGTAGATGCTTTTATCCAAAGCGACTTACAAATGAGAACAATAAAAGCAGTCAAAACTAACAAAAGAGCAACAATATATAAGTGCAAATGACAAGTATTGGTTAGCCTAACACAGTACACGTAGCAAGATATGTGTGTGTGTGTGTGTGTGTGTGTGTATATATATATATATATATATATATATATAATACACACACATACCTGTATATATATACACACACACACACACAAAGAAAAACAAGTAGATAGAATAGAAAAAATAGAAAGCTAGTGTTTTTTTTTCTGTTTCATGTTTACTGAATTTTGCTTGTTTTCAACAGCTTGCTTGTGACAGTCTTGTAGATTTTTTCTGAGTCATCTGTGTGCGTGTGTATATGACATACAGCAAGCAAATCCTAGCATCACCTCTTAATCAGTGTTTTGCTGTTGTTGTTGTACTCTCTGCTGCTGCCTGCACTCATTGTCTTCATTAGGTCAGGACCATAATTAGACCAATCTTTTCATGCACGCTTTTTCTCAGAGAACTGCATGTAGCTTTTAAGTTGCTAAACTATTTTACTGATAAAATTGTCAGAGTAGCACTAACAATGTTACCACATGTGTGTTTCCATGCACAAGTGTCACTATTGTATGTGTGTGCGTCTGTAAAGAAGAGAGAGCAGGAGAAATAGATTATGTGCTTTCCGTACATAATAAAACGTAATTTTGTGGCAAAAAAATGGAAACATGGTCGTTTTTATCCTATTATTTACTATAAAACTAAATATTGTTTATTTGCTTGGTCAGTGTCATTGTGGGTTTTGGTTATTTTGCTGTTTTAGGCTGTAAAGACCTTAGTAATAACTGAAATCATTTGGCAAAGTGATATGGACATGTAAAGCGGTCATGACCTGCCTGGAACTACATTTGCCGTAGTTTTGTTCAGCAGCTGTAAATCTGAAGCTTTTGCCTAGTTTTTCACTAAGCAGGGTTAGGCCTGGTTAGGCTGGAGGCCCAGTACACACTTATCGAAATAAACACACAACAATAACAAAATCTAACAATAATTTATGTAAATATACAAACATGTTACAGGCCCTTTAAGCCACCACAGTCTTTGCTACTTATTTAAATACAGTAGGTAGTCAACCAAAATTCCTACGATTACTTTGAATGGGAAAATTATCATTAATACAGGCCTAGCCTAGTTTTCTAACACATATTTACTTTGTCACTACAGTGTCCACATTAATGTTATAAATAAATGTTTGAAACTTATATTTAATAATTCGCTGATACATTTCAACAGGTCATGCATGTATTTATTTGTTATTCATCATTTTTTGACACAGAGCCCTACACGCCATGTCAAAATATATAATGTCCATGAACAAGAAACTGTTGATCGCTTTATATTAAATTGTTCCTTCATATTAGTTAAAACGTGAGAGCACCGTATTTATTTGTTCCTATGATTTAATTTTTAAAAAAGAAGAAGAAAAGTAAAAAATAAAAATAAAAAAAAAAGAGAGAGAGAAAGCCAGCATTGCCAGGGCGTGTTTGTTATTGTACATGAACCTATCCCTTTGAAACTGTTGCTCACCAATGTGCTGAGCATCTATTTCTTTAGGTAAAAACATAGTACAGTGGGACAAATACCACACTGACCAACCGTCACACCCTACTTGTGCAACGACTGAACAACAGTGGAGGAGAAGTTTGCTGTTCTCCAAGTATCCACATTATTAATGAAAAACAACAACAAATAAATAAATAAAATTTAAAAAATAAATAAATAAAAAAAGCTTTGGATGAACATTGCTAACCATGGGTCATTGTGCCTCCAAGTTTGGATTTTCAAAGGCGCACGTAGCATTTTCAGCTGGTTAAAAATAGTTTGGTGGACACAGGGCCTAAATCCATATCTAACTAATAATTTTAAGCAGGCCCATAATTTGTATGTTTTATTATATATTTGAGAGTACCTTTTAGTTTCGTTGATTGTTTATTCATTCATCCACTCATTTATTAATTTATTTATTACAAAATGAATATGTTGTGCCTTCTCTCTCAGGGCGGTGCTTTGCATTTCGAGGTGAGCGTGGGAACGATGAACCAGCCATTGAAATGATTAAAGTGTCACATCTGAAGTGAGTAACAGATGTTTTCCAGTTGCAAACACCTCAGTGAGCACTTAAACACTTTAGTCCTTTTGGTTTCCCTAAACAGTGATGCATTTTGTGGTGACAAATACAGACACACACAAACTACTTTCATTAATTATTTCCTGAACGGTGTCTAGGTTGTGCACTTTAACCAGCCCTGTACTTATAATTTTCTTTCATTGCACTACTTTAACTATGGGAAATCCTGAGAGATTGTTTAACCTTGCAATGGCGATTTTATTTATTTTTTTATTTTTTCTCATTGTTTCAAAACTATCACTTTCCAAAACTGCCGTTTGAAACTGTTCAGTCAATCAAACAAATAAGACATAAGTAAGATATATATCCTGCAAGATATATCGTCACCTTGGAATCCCCTATATATATATATATATACAGTATATATATATACTGTATATATATGTATGTCCTGGGGACCCCCCACTACTGCGGATGTCTTATTGTCTAGTGAAATAAACGTGGGTGTGTGTGTGTGAGAGAGAGAGAGAGAGAGAGAGAGAGAATTACCTGTAGTAACTAAGCTATTTTTTTTTTATAAAAGCGTTGCATTGACAATATTTTTATGTGCTCCTGGATATTTCTGTGTTCTCTATGTGCAAGTGATGTCTGTGCATGTGCTTCAATGAAGTCTGTGCATTAATATAAAACAGTGATTAAATTGACTGGAACTACCTGTACATTAAATGGTTTTAACACACACTTTCCTCCTAGTCAGTATCTAGTATTCAGACAGACCATGGCATAAGGGTACTAAGGTTACTTTTAACGTAGGAAACACTTTTTGATCTAAAGAAAATTTCATGTATACTTCTGAGAACAAAATAAATGTATGTGTACATGGGTCTTCTTTAGGCAGTACCTGGTGGTGGTGTTCAGAGATAAACCTCTGGAACTCTGGGATGTCCGCACAGGAACCCTGCTGCGTGAGATGGCCAAGAACTTCCCTACCCTCACTGCCCTGGTACTGTATCAAACTCACAATGTGCCATGTTGCTTATAGTGTTTGTTCTTAAAATATTTAATTGTTTTGAACTATGGGTAAAATATGTGTTAGCGACTAGAAATTACAGCATTTGAAATGCTTTTGAAGCACAGCAAAATCTAGTTAGCACATAGGAAAATTGGAAGTCTCTATGTTCAAGTGATGTGTGTACGTGTGCTTCAATGAAGGCTGTGCATTGCTATAAAACAGTTATTAAATTGACTGGAACTGGCATGGCCAGGGTCAGTAGAGTCTGTGAAGATTCTACCTGCCTCCTTCCTCAAAAAGTACAGGTCCTGGAGCTTGGGCAGGGGGCACCAATAATTTTCTCAGCAGTCTGGACTGTCCACTGTAGTGTTGAACCAAACCAGACAGTTATCGAAGTACATTGGGCATACTAGTAGAACTGGGTAAGCAGCTCCTGTGGCAGATTGAACTTCCTCAGTTGGTGAAGGAAGTACAAGTACAACCTGTCCTGGGCAGCTCGTGAAGGAATACAGCCTCTGCTGGAAATCGGGAATCAGAACAAATACATTAGGGGTTTAGCACCTTCGGTGCTTGGATCCCGAATAATAAAGTCATACAAAAACATTAGGGTTCCAGCACTTTGTGCTTGGCCTCTAATAATAAGAACACTAACAGAAACAATAGGTGAATACCACTGTTGGAAATGAATGGGAGCTTAGGAAAAAAATGCACCATAATGACCAATTTTTTATTTTATTTATTTATTTATTTATTTTTTGAATAATCACAGTCACAGGGTCAGGACACAGTGCTTCCCGACTTGACGGCCAATGGCATCCTACCGCAGATACGTCAACAATGATTGTCCACTCATGGAGTTTGGGGGCCTGGTAAGCACTGCCCAACCAGTTGCGTTAGTCATCAACCAGGACAGTCAGACTCAGTTACAGAACTTAGTTTGCCAGGTGCTCGCCCGGGTTCAGCTGCAGTCCTATTGAAACAATTTCAGAGGCTCCTGGAGCCTATGGCTTCCTCGGTGGCAGTATCACTGCTTGGATTGATGCATATGAGAGCGTTTCAGCACTGGCTTCAGACTCGAGTCCCAGGATGGCCATGGCGTTGTGGAATGCAATGTGTGGCTATCACACCGATATGTCACCATATGTCATTCAGCCCTTGGATGGACCTAGCATTTCTATGGGCAGGGGTCCTGCTAGAACAAGTGTCAAGTCGCATTTTGACTGACTCCCCCTTTGGAGTCAGCAGCAACTTAATTCACTGTAGGCCACTCACATCATTGAAGATATATGTGGCCGCATCACAATGAAGTGGACGGTAAGGGGAGCATGAACTGATCACCAGGTTCCTCAGAGGCTCCAAAAGGTTAAACCCTCCAAGACCTTCTTGGGATCTCTCTATAGTCTTGCTGGGCCTACAGAGAGCTCCTTTTTAGCCCCTGGAGTCAGTCTAGCTAAGTGCCGTCTCTTTGAAGACGGCCCTCCTGGCCACACTCTTGTCCATCAAGAGGGTTGGGAACCTGCAGGTGTTCTCTGTCAGTGCAACATTCCTAGAGTTCAGTCTGGCGTATTCTTACATGATCCTGACACCAAAGTTCCCACTACCCCTTTTAGGGACCAAGTGGTGACCCAGCCTTGACGTTCCAGTATGTGCCTTGCGCATCTATTTGGACTGCACTAAGAGCTTCAGGCACTCTGAGAAGCTCTTCTTCTGTTTTAGTTGGAAAGCAGAAGGGGAAGGCTGTTTTTAAACAGAGGATGGCCCACTGGATTGTGGATGCCATTCCCTTGGCATACCAGACCCAAGGTGTGCTATGCTCCTTTGGAGACCGAGCACACTCCACAGGGAGTCACATCCTTCTAAGCTCTAGCAAACGACGCCTCTCTAGCAAACATCTGTAGAGCAGCAGGCTAACCAACACCCACTACCTCTGCAAGATTCTATAATCTCCGGGTTGAACTAGTTTTATTCCATGTGTTAGGAATGTTTTCTGTCCACATATCCTCTGATACCCTGCTGCTGTCGAATTCAGTGGAGGAATTCAAGGCCAGGCCGAGTACTCATAATGCGAGCCTGTGTACTTGGGCTAGGTGCTTCACCTTTTTTTTTTTTTTTTTTTTTAATTGCCTATTGTTAATTTCATATGATGTATTGTCCACGGTATGGTTTTCCTGCAGGTAACCCTGTAGCAAATGCTTTTGGCTCCTCCGCAGAAACCTGAATGAGTAGATTCTTGCCATTTCCTTTTATACCTGTATGTATGGGGAAGTGGCGCATGCAAATTCCACTCACCAGTTTTTAATAGGCTTTTTTTTTTTTTTAAGTATCACAGGTGTTTGGGGCTTCCAAGTACCTAGTTTCAGTACATTGACACAATGTCTATAGTCAGTAGTAACCAGGATGTTATGTATGTTTCAGTGTGATTCATGATAACATTTATTTGTGTAAACAGGAGTGGTCTCCTTCGCATAACCTTAAAAGTCTGAAGAAAAAGCATCTAGCTGCACGAGAGGCCATGGCCAGACAGACCACCCTCGCTGATGCTGAACAGAGCAGTGTAGAATCCTCTGTTATCAGGTCTGAATGCCCAAAAATTATAGCTGTCATAATTTACTGATCTTCTTGTTGTTCATTCTTCTGGAGAACACAAAAAGAGATTTAGTGAATAATGAAAAAAATAATGATCAGAGCTCCAAAATCTACATTAAAGCACCATAAACGTATTATATACAACTCCTAAACTATATTCCAAATCTTCTGAAGTACAGAGAGATTGATAATTAATAAGTCTATTTATGGGCTCAATGCTGACATTTAAGTTATTTAAAGTTAAATTTAATTTAAATCTTCCTCTCTGCTTCAGCTTAAATGTTATTTTTGCTTATGCACATTTAAACTTGGTGCATGAAGATGCTGAATGAATGAAGAATGAATTAGATTGCAGCGGAAGTGAAGACTTTCAACAAATAACTTAAATTGTAGTCTGTTTGTTACAAACAAAAACTTCAACATGATTTTAGAGCACAATAAGAAATTTAGCACACAGGTTGGATGGGCTACTTTTATTAAACTTATTGTGTTTTTTGCCATTTCAGAGTTCTACAGTAAAAGTTTCCAATGTTCTTGTATAGAAAATGGTGGACAGTACATTCTTCACCATTTCTCATTTTGTGTTCCATGGAAGAATAGGTTTATAGCATTTATAGCACAAGTTTCTAGAATTGATTCACTAATCATTGGTAAATTGGTACTTTGTTACTGCACTTTAAATGCTCTTATCTAAGTGGTTTGCCGTTTCAATATGAACTCTTAACAATACTCTCTGTTGTTGTCTGTCTGCCAGTCTGTTGCAGGATGCTGAGAGTAAATCTGAAATGAGTCAGGGCATATCAGCTCGAGAACATTTTGTGTTTACTGACACAGATGGACAGGTCTATCACATCACTGTGGAAGGCAACACCGTGAAGGATGGGGCACGTATTCCACCTGATGTGAGTGTCCTTCATATGTGTTTTGCATTCTGTGTAACTGACAACTGTGGAGTCGTTTTATTTATTTCGTTTTTCTCCTGATCAATTTTGTTTTGTTTTTCTTTGCAAAAGTACACAAAGTCTCAAATGCAGTATTTACTTGCTCTGTTATACATGATCTTGAAATGTTTTCAATTTGCTGTTTGGTGAAACAATCAAAATTTGTCAGGCCAGCACAGACACGTTGTTCAACAAAACCTAGACAAACGATAATCCAAACAATAACCATCCACCAGATGCTTCCAGACAAACGCTTTAGACTTTGAGTGATCAATCCCAAAAATCCACTATAGGATTCTGATGAAAGGTCTCAAAAGTGGAATTTTTTCTTCCAATATCCACTCAAGAAGTATATTAGCAGAAATAAAACTACTAATATTAAAGGTGCAGTAGGAGATCATGGAAAATGCTAACTTTAGCCTGATAGACGTCCAAAGCCACGCCCCCTGAACCCATATACGCTTACAGATCAGGGCCCGAGTTAGGAGTTGTGAAGAGGACTCCTAAGTCACTAAGACCAAATCTGAACTATCCTAAAATGGCTGTTGCCAGCAATCTGCCTCAGAATATTATCATTTTAGAAACATTTGACCATAATGAGCTTTTAAAAAGGTATCGGCTTTGGTTTGGAGGTTATCCCAACTCCAAATGTTTTATTATATCCTTAATATATAGCTGTTCTACTGTCTTACTATCAGCCATGATTATTCTACTCTGCTAATTAAAAGGCTGTTTATATGCATATTACCAAAATTTTATTAGTCGCTTAGTCGCAGAAAAAAAAATTTCCACATGAAGTGGCGAAATGAATGTTAGCCTAGAAAAAAAGTGCGCAGTTCACGTGTTTGTGCGGAGTGTGGAAACTGAACAGCAGCGCGCTTGGGCTACAGATGGAGGCGCCGGTGCGATCATTGGCTCTTAAAATACTCCATCATTTTTGGTCATACAGATAAGAGTAATATATCTTTTGTATCTGTAAAGGACTCTACGTTTATTCGTGTGCACTAAGAATAACAACAAAACGTTGCGCTTTTGTAAAATAATGAAAGCAAACAGGATGCGATTTCTGCCGTCTCTGGTCTGTGAACTTGAGCGCCTCACTTTGAAACTCTGTGTATGCTTGCCTTATTACAGACATGAAAAATATATCTAATTTATATGGTTTATTAATAAAAGTGCGACTAATAGTCGACTAATGCTTAAAATGAATGGCTACTTGTCGACCAGAAAAATCTTTAGTCGAAGGCAGCCCTAATGCATATTGACTAATTGTTTACGAGAAGCATAAGAGGCTGACAATTAGATGAATATATAGCCTACTTGTTTAATTAGTGACACTTAGCCTGCATTTTAAAATCTTTATTTGAATGTGGCAATTAACATTTTTATTTTAAAACCTTTATTTGAATATGGCAACATAATATTGCGCTCTACAATATTTCTATGAATAAATCTCTGACAGAGACTATCAGCCAATCACTGTGTGCATAGTTAGTAAGAATGCTGACATCATCCATAGCAACAAGGTCAACCCCGCCCTTACTCTTAACTTAAGACTTCTCTCTATTCATTAGTAAAAGTTTGTCTTAGCAGCTTTGTGAATAGGTTTTAAGAGAAAACTCTTAGCTAAAAACTTTTACTGCTATTTAGGAGAACTCTTAGTGGTAAGATAAAATGTTTTGTGAATACGGGCCCAGAATACCAGAGACAACATTACTACAATAGGCTACATCAGCGGTTCCCCTGTAAACTTCAACGGATTTCCCCTCCTCAGGAAGTAGGGAGCAATGAACACTGTGTAGGGATCATATCGATCGGAACACAGTTCATGCATGTAGCTCAATTCTAACGAGCTGGTTATCTGAATCGGGTGTGTTAACTAAGCGAGACATGCAAAATATGCAGAGCGGGGGGCACGAGGACTGGTATTGGGAACCGCTGGGCTACATGTGTCATTCACCGGTGAGAAAACTTTAAAAGTACAACAATACCAGGAAGGAAGATTGGGTTGTTGATGTTTGCCTGCCATTCTCGCTCTGCACAGCGTGCGTGAACGCGCTGATGACGTATCCTGTCTGCGCAAACCGGGTACGCAGAGGTATGCTAATACATACGTTGACAGGCAAGTAGGAAAGCCAATTAAAACGCTCGGACCGAGCGTTTTGATTGGACAAACATTTATCGGTCCTACGCCTTCCACAGAATATATAAATACAGATAAATACATTTAGACCACTTAACTTAATGATTGCTATTGGGATGTGAAGAGACTTTCAACCAGCATAACAAAAAATGTTTCTGAAGACAATCACCTATTGCACCTTTAAAAAGAGTTCATCTAAATTGTATAGAAGGGTAGCGTAAGGAGAAGGCCATGCTTCCTTCTAACCAAACAATACCTTCCCTCTAATACTACACCTGTGTTTAACCCTCTGGGGTCTAAGGGTGTTTTGGGGCCCGGGAGAAGTTTTGGCATGCCCTGACATTTGTGTTTTTTCAGTATCTTAAATACTTAAAGTCTGATAACACTGTATTCAACACAAACTGGGCTACAATAATTTGTGAGCAGCATGAAAGTACATGTTTGTGTTTTTGAGAGAACAATGTTTATGTGTGGTTAGTGAAAAACAAAATCTTTTAAGTCACTGCCATAAAACACATACAGAATATTTGTTCACAAGACTTTTGGTCTAGTGGTAGACTAGAGTTTTTGCTACAAAATGATGTGAAGAATTATCATGTTCACAGAAAACAATATATTAATTTAACATTTGTAAAACATGTTTTGTGATACAATGCCCTTATGACAATGGCCATGAATATTTAGTGATTCACACCTGAGAGACAAAGGGCCTCCCATAATGGGCCATCAATATGAATGTGACTGAGGCAGGTAAGAAAGAGTTTGAAGAGAGTAAAATAATGTGGGTTTTTGATTATTATTTGGATTTTATTTACAACACAGTATAATAAAAATATACACCGTCAAGGTCAAGGACACATGATTGAACATACTGATCTGAACACAGACTTAAACAGTAACACACCTTTGTGCCAAACATTCATAGATTCTAATATCATAGTGTTAACAATACTTTTATATCTTGTGGTTTTATATGTTATTAAACACATCATGGCGTTGTGAGACATTTAAACAATGAAATGACATATTTCAAAATGTTTCACTTGATTTCATGCATGTAGTCAGGAATTATAGTTTGGGATAAAGTCTAACTAGTAAAATGTGAACAAGTTATGTAACAATAACACAATAACAACAGATGCATGTAATCTTAGGCTACTCAGAATGATATTCTCCACTGGATCTAGCTGCGCGATGCATCGCATTGTGTTCTTTTTCTGAGGTAAATTCTGGGTTATTCCTCTCAGTGCGTCTTCTTCCAGAAACAAAAAGTAGCCGGGATGAACTTGTTTGTTTACGCGGTGGCAATGTGGGCATTTAAATGCGCGCACGTCTCACGTGGATGTTTAGAATTTGAAAATCGCGATCGGCTCGTGGGCATGATCGCATTAGAGATAATGAGTTGAGAGGGGAAAGCTGGAGCTTGCGTTGGTTTCATATGGATTACTTTAGCAGAGAATATTTGTTTCGGACATGACTTCATTTAAAAGTAGACATTTCAAGCTTTCTATACATATATTTTTCATGTCTTTGAAGCAAGTATTCGCTGAGATTCAGGTTGTTTTATTTACGTGTCTGTGAAGAGAGGTGACAGAGACCGTGACGGCACAGAACAAACCCTGTTTATTTTCTTTATTTTACAAAATTACATTGTTTTGTTGTTATTATGACTATACACAAATAAAAGTAGACCCTTTGCAGTTTCAAATGATGGTAACACTTTATAATAACTTTCATTAATGAATCATTAACAAACATTATATAATGCTTAATGGATCATTAGTTACTATATATTCAAAGAGTTAGAAATGTGAGATAATGTGCTTGTTAATGTTTGCTAATAAACTTATTAAACAGTAGATAATGTTTAACAAATCTTTATTTCATGTAAGTTAAAATGCTTACAAATGTCATTAAACTTTCAATTCCATTTGATCAAGCATTGAAAATCTACAAATGGTTTTTAAAGATGTTATAAAATGATTAAAAGCTTGTGTTAATGCACAACACTTTTGCTTTTTTTTTTATTTTGTTTACACAACTGTAACGGAGCCGACAAGACGTGAGACGTGCGGATCCATTTGCAAAGCTTTAATAGAAGACAGAGACATGGTCATAAAACAGGCATGGGTCAGACAATGGCAAACAGGTATATAAACGGCAAGACAAAAGAGTATCCAAAGGAAGGCGTGAGTCAGTCGACGGTGAACGTAATCATGAGGGCGAGGCAAATGGGGAATCCACAAGAAGAGCTAGAGTCCAGGCAAGGTGCAAACACAGTCCGAAACAGTCCCCCCCCAAGGAGCGGCTTCCAGACGCTACAAACACTATACGATCCTGGAGGGCGGTGGAGCGGAGGCGGAACGGGGGAGGGACGGAGGGCCAGGTCCACGTGGAAGTGGAGAGACCGGGGACTGAGGCAGAGTTGGCAGAGCCCACCTGGGCGGAGCAGAAGACCTCCACGGTGGAGCAGACGGAGCAGGAACCCGAGGCAGGAACTGGGACCTGGGTAAAATTGAAAAAAAAAGGAAACAGACAGTGCATTCACGGTCTCAAGGACAGAGGCAGGGAACACAATACGTTTATCCATAGTCTCCCTGGTGACCACTGAATGGGTAGACAGTTCAAAATCTGGCTCACTGACAAAGCCTGGACAGGCAGACAGTTCATAAGCAGACTCACTGACTGAGAATGGACAGGCAGACCATTCAAAATGGTCTCTTTGGTCGAAACAGGACTGACATATGGCTCAAAACTAGACTTCTTGACTGAAACAGGATAGGTAGACAGTTTATTAGTGGTCTCTTGGGAAATGACA